CAGCAGTTGCCAGCGAGGGGTAACAGATCATACAGTTGGAGGGAAAAAAAATCTCATCTCCTTGAACATAATTAATTTAATTGTCCTCATTAGCTGTACCATTTGTTTTGATTTTATTTCTCCCTTTCCCCACACATAACTTCTCCCTCCCTCTTTTCTTCTCCTTCTCTGAGTGCATTGGTTGAGAGAGGCACACACACACTCACACTGCTGTATTTTCAGAGTGGTTGTGGCAGAGGTAGTCTATAAACAGAGGGAAGTGAGGCTCTTCTGAGCGTATGGGTGCATGCAGGAGAGAAGCAGGTTTCTGTCAAGTTTTGCTTTTCTCCATGTGCAGATCAAATCAGCAGAAAGGGGCTCTGTTAGTCTGCTGCCTCTGATTGTGCTTTTCGGGTTCTTGCTCAGGTTGGTTGTGGCTGAGTTTTGTTACTACTTGGAGGGAGAAGGGGCAAGAAAATCAGGAATTGTCATTGCACAAGATGCTTGTTCCAGGAACCTTAATATATATATATGTATATATATAAATATGAAAATATAGAGAATCTTAGTTTAAAGGGGGAGTGGAGGGGCTGGGGGGGGACCTGTCCTAAACATGTATTTCTGAGGTTGCTTTGATTTTTATTGGAACTGCTGGATTATATGAGGGAGGGGTGCAGATGGTAGAGCATTTCAATGCTTTTAAATCTTTCGTGGGTCTTGAAAGACTTCTATAATATGAGTGTCATTCAAATTTAGGGTATATTGTAAGCTGACATCTTTCAAAGCTTTGTGGAAATCTAGCGTGGTGCTTCTAATAGCAGACAACAGATATTCACTTTGAAGTCTGAAAACTGTATTCACAAATTCTTAATCTGGTCTTTCTCCAACTGCAGATGGCTCTTAGAGGAAGATGCTTTGGATTTTTTTAACTTTATTTACAGTAGGCTAGGCTCAACATCTTTATTATAAAACATGAAAAAACAATCATCTGTGAGCGTGACTGAATATCAAAGCATGCTGTATCTCTTCTGTGTTTGCATGTCTGTCTGTCTGTCTCTTGGTCAAAGGTATTCAACACCTACAGCACATCCGTGTCTATTATTTTTCCCCCTCCACCACTAGGTAGAGAGTAAGGCTCTGTCTTCAGCTTCTGGGACGAGGATCCTGTAGGGGGGGAAACAGCTTTTTTTTCTCTCCAGCATTCAGCTTGGAAAGCGTGGGGAAGAATGTGGCAAGGGGCAAGCAGTGCCCAGTGAGTGGCCGGGCCAAGGGCAGCCATGTCGGGCACCAGTGGGGACCGCACCAGGGAGCAGGAAACTTTCACTCTGGAGTTTGCGCTCCTCTCTGAGCAGCTCACATGTAGCACCGAGAGAAGCTGCGTTTTCACCTTCAGGGATTATTCTCATTACTCATTAATAGAGAGATATGTATCTTGCTTTTTTTTTTTTTTTTTTTTTTTTTTTTTTTTTTTTTTTTTGCGTAGGCAACTTATTGTTTTGTTTAGGCAAAGTATTTGGGGAGGAGAGATGGGGGGGAGTGGGGGGGCGCTCCCCTGTTTCCCTGGGTCTGTTTCTGGAGCACTCTCTGGGAAGGTGATCCTGAGCCGCTTCAGTAGAGGTCACTTGTGTGTGTGCGTGCGTGTGTGTGTGTCCCTGGTGTTTGTGTCTAGCATATGCATGTGGTTTTGCTGACTGCACTTGCAGGCTTGTAAATTTTCACCATGGGAAATTACCAACAAAGCCCAATCTGTCTCCTGGCTGCTTTGCACTTTCCGAGGGCGGCTGTACTTGAGCGAGCTGCAGAAGAGAGAGAAAGAGAGAGGGAGAGAAAGGGGGAGTTGGGAGGGGGGAGAGAGGAAGGGTGGGTGGGTGGAGGGGGAGAGAGGTAAATAGCCTTAAATCGGAAGGGAGCTGCTTCTCTGTGGTCTTCCACAAGAGCTGCCTGGGCTCTGCTGGCTCAGTAATAACTGAGTGACCTTTTCTTTTGCTGTATTATGTCTGGCTGGTAAGGGATTGCATTTTGCAGCTGATAAAGCCCTGACTTCATTCAACTCGGCTCCTCACACGCTGCTTTAGGTAAGTTGTCTTCAGCCAGGACGGAGACAGACAGCCTTGGACTGCAAGATACTAAAAGGAGGACACCTGTAGCTCGGATACGGTCAACACAATTACTTGGCGGATCCTTGAGGACCTCATTATTTTAAACTTAAAGAATAGCGATCTCCCTCCCCATCTCTCCCACCCCCCCTTTATTTTTTTTTCCCCAAACAATGCTTCTTTTTGACCTTTCCCAAGGAGAAGAGCTACAAAGCAGCCACTGTGCTTATTGAACTGCCTCCCCTGTATCGCTTAATTGAGAAGGTAAGTGAGGCAACTGTGTACATAAGCTTTGGGTCATTTGTGTATGTGTGTCTGCATCACTCCCTCTCTCTCTCTCTCTCTCTCTCTCTCTCTCTGAGTCATAAGCCGGGGCTGCAATACACACACACACATCTCTGCACTGCAACTTTCACTCAAGCTGCAGCTCTGCTGAGACTGTTTTGTTTAAATCATGTGAGGCTTCATTATTTTTATGATGAGACATGAAATACATGCAAGCGGAGGATGCTGAGCGAAACCCATCTAACTGGATGTCTCGAGAAATAGCAGTCAAAGTTAACAATGAATTGCAGCAGCCCCCACCCCCCCCCAACAGCCCCCCCGCCTCCGTTATTATTGTTATTATTATTCTTGCTTCTTCCAGAGCTTCTCGAAACGTGCTCTCAATTACCAAGGGAGCAGGTTAATTTCCCACTCCCCGGCTTTAATCCGCAAGCCTCCCCGCACAGCCGTTTAATTTGCGGCTGGCTCGGCGCAGGGTTAACCCTTTGGGCAGAGCCGAGGCAGGAGCGCGGCCGCGGGCCGGGGGAAGCGGCCGGGGGCTGCCCCCGGCGGCTCGGGGCTCCCGGAGCCCCCCTCGGAGCGGCGGCAGTGGCGGGCAGCCCAGAGGAGCAGCACCTCTGCGGCGGAGCCTCTCCCTTTATTTATTTATTTTTTATTTATTTTTATTTTTAATTTTTTTTCCCTCTTTCTCCCTTCGCACGCCCGGCACGACACGGTACGCTAACGCCGCGTGTGACAGTTTAATCAAAGCCATTTGTTACAACAAAGCTAGCGGGCCGCTGGGATTAGAGGCTTGCGGGCAGCGGGTGGCGCAGCCCCCCGCAGCCCCCGGCCCGCCCGGGGACGCCCCCCCCCTGCCGCCGCCGCGGGTCGCCCCGAGCCGGGGAAGCACACTTGCTACTTTTGCTGGGTTTCGGCGCTTCGCCGAGGAGGAGCTCTCCGGGCGCCCGTAAATCAACTCATGCAGAAAAAGGAGAAAAGTTTTGGTAAGGCTGCGATCCGCCGGCTCACTTGGCGGCGGGCGGAGCGGGCGCGCTTGCAGGTAGAGCCGGGGCGAGGGGGGTTGGAGGGAGGGGGGGGGGGGAGGGGGGAAGAGGCAGCGCCTTGCTCTCGCTTCTTCCCGTCCTGAAGGCGCTGCCCCCGTGCCCGAAGGGGGCCCGGCACAGCCCTTCCTAAAACGGGTCTGTAGGACCGCCGGTGAGAGCGATTAATCCCGCTAGGTGCAACAAACAGCGCTCCGTGCCTCCCCACCGCCTCCCGCTCCTCCCCGCCACCCCATCCCCGCGATGCCTCAGAAGGAATTAGCACAAAAGGCTGGAGCGTCCGGCCCCGAAAGGGATTCTTTGTTGCAGAGTGTATGTTTCTTATTTTTTTTTTTTTATTTATTTTGCATGTGAGCTGCATCAAAATTGAACTCAGTCTTGCAAATCTCTTGTTGGCCTTTGCCAAGCACTAGCACTTTGCTGCCATGGTAACTGTAATTAAACTGATAAGAGTGGAAAAATGTCAGTATCTCTGAGCCTTGCAGCTGCATTGGAGAAAAAGGGAATCAAATTGGTTCCCAGCACCACTGCTCTAAAAGAGGAGGGAGGGAGTGGGGGGAGGCGGGGGGGGGGGACACGACAGGGGTAGGAACATAGCTAAGCAGCTCCCGTCCCTGAGATCTGGGTACATCTATTTGCTGTGTTGTCCCTTAGGGGGCTACAGCCTGCAGGGATGCTCTGGGCCAGTGAACAGAGAGAAACAAGCTTTTAGGCCCAATCTAGCTTTCAAAAAGAGAAGGGGAAAGAAGAGGAGAAATCTTTTGTTTGGTGTCTCTTGGCAATCGACTAGCCGTGTTGGCCAAATTCTTTTAATCTGTATCACTGCTCCCAGCTGTGGGACTGCATTCCCACTTTTAGTTTTTACCTAACCTCCTCGTTTTTCCCCGTTTTCAAGCCACCTCCTTTATTAAAAAAATATAATAACATAAAAGCACTTTCCTCTGTAGAAGAAGGGGCAGGATGTGAAGTTTAGCTATATACTGTGGAAAATTAACTCAAAAATATACAGAAGAGTCTATATTCAGAGCACTAAAAACCTTACTTTTATTAAAAAAAAAAAAATCCTGAGTGTTATGGAGTTGCGGTTACTTTGTTGTGTTAACTACAGAAGCTGAGACTGTGCGGATGAATGGCACAGAACAAGAGAGCATAATGGAGGCAATCAACCGTTAGGCTGGTTCACAATGCAATCCAGGCAATTAAAAGCTCACCAGAGTTTAAATGAAATGGTTCTACTTATTTCTGTGCACCACACTGCACAGGCTATTATTTATGTCTCTTTTTTTAATTATGATTTCCCTTAAACTGTCAAATAACTCAGAATAGCGGGGTCTCGGAGGCAATAAGAATTTTCCACAGAACAATTTACATGCCAATCTAAAACTAGTTACGACTCCCGATGTGCTACATGCGAGTTCTGAAATGTTTCTCCCCTTCTGAAACCTTAACTTTTTTTTTTTTCTGAGCCTGCGTGTGTATTATCCTGAATAATTGGAGCAATTAATGCTTTTAGGATAAAGCTGCAAAGTGGGAAAGCAGCTGAAAAGTATTCTTTTTTTAATCTCCTATTGGATCTCCAACTCTTGTGTTGACTGTGCGGTGTCTGTCAGTTCACTGTCTTCTAGAGACCTGTGCAATGATATGCAATTTGTCCCAAACTAATTTCCTTTTTTTTTTTTTTTTTGCTTCGAAGTAGAGGCAAGTTTTCCCTTTCTTGCTGTACGTTCCACTGTCCTTGGTAGAATCATGTGTGTGCTTCAATGAAGGAGGAGAGTGAGTGGTCTTTAAAAGTTAAGTGCTGTAGTGCATAAGAACATCCAACTCTTCCACCCTTTAGCATCCCCTTCACAGACTGCCTGTACCACAAACCAGAAACTGTGTTCTGGAGTCTTTAGCAGTGCTTAGAACAAGCAGAGATGAATCCTGCTCGCGGATACTGCTATCTCACTGACAAAATACAGTTAGTTATGTCCGGTCTCCATTCCCTGATTTTGCTGAGGGTGGTGATCAGAGTGAAGAGGGTTTTTGTCTCTCTGCTTTCTTTCAGGAACCTAATTTAGCCTTTTTAGCCTTTTTTTCAGCAATCTTTCCTCTTTATCCTGGAATTCATAGTTACAAATCAGTTGTCAGTGTTTCACTGCACAATAACAGCAACTACAAGGGATGGGAGTCAGTTCTGTTGAACTTCTTTGGGGAGACCGAGGGAAATGCAGAAGCCTACAAATCAGCATATGAAATTCTTCCTTCAAAAATCCTAACAGTGGTGGATGGTGATTAAGAAGTCTTATTGCTAACACAGCTCTGCAGTTCATGCCCAGTACTTTGGGGCCTGAGGGTGGAGGAAGGGAGGGAGGGATGGAGAGTAGGAGAGAGGAAGCCCTTGAAAATGGACTGGGGTGAAATAAAAAGGGTTCGTTTGACAGTGACAGACTAGGCACTGAAATTTCTCCGTTCTGAGAACAGATCTGCTCTATGATGCAGAGCATGGGTAGGACTCTGCCAAACTGAAGGGAAAGCTGGATTTGATTTTCACAGCCTGGGTGTAGCACTTATGGAGCTGTATGTTTTTGGAAGCGCTCCATGAGTGCTGCCTTCACAGGGGTGGGGGTGAGGAGGGCAGCCAGGCAGTGCTGTCTGCTGAGTCCTGACGGAGCAGCGGCAAGCAGCTCGGATGGTTCAGTGGGTGCTGTCAGCCTCTGAAAGGCTCCTTCCTGTGTCCTGAGAAATAACTGGGTACCGAAACCACAGCCTGTGGAAAGCTGTCTAGCAGTCAGCTGCAGGTATTCTTACTGCCAGATTAAGGCAGCTAAAAATACACGAGCGCATATGTGAAAAGTGTAACTGTGTTGGAGATCCTGTGGGAACATTAAAGGGAGGAGAGATGGTCTGGGAGGTGATTTGCATTAAGCTGGCTCATACTATACAGGGAAAAAGTAATCAAGTATTCTGTTCTCAAAATTAAGCGATTTAATCCGGGCTGTGAAGAAAAGGGCACGTGCAAAGAATTCGGAGCTATGTAAAACACTTCTCAGAGCAGTGCTTGTGCTTTCTTTTGTTTAGATCACTCTGTTTCAAAAAAAAAAAAAAGTAACCTTTTTATATAATGAAATAGTAGTTTAATTTTAACTTGCATTAAAATAGATGCAGCTTTATTGCAAGTAAGGTGTGAAAAGGATCAAATCTATCTGAGGAGAAAAGTATTCCTTCCCTCCAAAAGCTGCTGCCGATTGAGTCCCTAATCTGGAGATGCTGCCGGTGGGATGTCAGAGTCACCTTCTTCCAGCCTTGGGAGCACAGGCATACAGGGTTATTAGCAGTATTCTGTGGGGTGTCTGCCCATTTTCACTTGTACGAGAAGGGTTTGGGTTAACCATCGGCAACAGTGCTCTGTCTACTTTCAGAATGTAGCAAGCGTCTCAAAAATGGTGCCGGACTGCGTGCAACGTTATGCAAGCTGTGCTTTTATTTATAACACAATAATCCAGTGTTTGCAGCATATATCTCAAGAATTATCATGCTTGATTACTGTAATTTGTTCAGATATTTGTTCAGCCTTGCTTCTCTTGCACCTTGTTCCCTTCAGAAAGCACAGGACAGCTGATCCAGCCTTGGTCAGAGACTGCCAGCCTTTGCACTCCCACCTGCTTTCTTACCAAACGATAAAGTTTTTATGTTGAGGTTTTTATTTTTTTTTCCCCTTTCCCCTCTCCCTTAAAGCTCTTAACTGTGTTATTTACTAGTTTATTCTGGTTTCCCTTAGAGCAAAAGGTTAAAATCCTAGAAGAGTCCTTCATGCTTCTGAACTTTTTTAGTGAGTTCCACAAAGTTGATGCAAACTATTTTGTGTCTGTCCTCTAAATGGTAGAAGAGAGGGTCTGGGGATAAGCACGTAATGGGCACTTAGAGGATATTTATACTCTAACCCGATACGCAACTTCACAGATTAAGCTTTTTCACTGGCTGAAGGTATTAGTAATCCAGCAGGATTTCCCTGTACAGTCAGTCTGGTAGAGACTCTTTACAAGAATCTGCTATTTTCACTGCTTTTAGTTGTTTGTTTGTAGCCATGTTGCCTTGCTGCTTCACATCCTCATGCTGAGTTTTGGGGAGCTAGTTGGCAATTGTAAATACCATAGGCACTCTGCCTTTGCCTCGTGGTGCTTGCTTAGGATAAGCAATGTGCGTTTGTTCCCAGATCTGCCCCTGCCTTGCTGCGGAGCCCGAGCGGGTCGCTGGCTCTCATCCTCCCGCTGCGGAATGAGAAACAGACCTCAGGAGTTTCTAAGTGGTGTAGGAGATGTGAGAGTAGTGTTGATTGGAGAGTAATGGGAAGGCAGCAAAGCCGTTTTTGTACTTACGGGTAGAAAAATAAAGACCTTACATTATCTTTTTATGAGCTTTAGACGTTAGGCAGCAGTACTGCCGTGGTACTTCAGGGTGCTCACTAGGAGAACTGTCTCTATAACTGAACAGCTAATTTAACAGACAAATATATTGCTCCAAACTGCGTAACAGTGTATCGCAAAGCGGGGCTGTTGTATATCACAATGAGAACAAGAATTACTATTTCTAATTAAGTTACCAGCTTCACAGGTGAAACTTGGGAGTTCAGCTTGGTAAACCCTGAAAAGTCACTTAACAGTCTCCGCACTAGCTGCAATCCGCGTAAATTCGATGCGTTTCACATACACATACAGATCACTGGGATACTTCAGCTGGCATAGTATTTAGTTTCTTGTCTTCATGGTGCTAATATTCATAAAGGCATACTATACTGTTGCTTCAAATATTAAACTTATTTTCTTCTATTCCTTATGACAGCTTAAAAAAGTAAATGTAATAAAACACCAACTTGTTCATGTTCTCGCTACCTGAGACTGCCTGTCTATAGTGGTGTGTTACAGCACCAACTGAGATGTGCTTATAAAAGCTGAGACTGTAAAGCCTTCTTAGCAGTAGGTAGTATAGCATTCTTGATGAGGGGCTCTTGAATTTGCTTTTCTTTGTTATGAGACTATTTGACCTTTCTAGTCGCTGCGTGAGAATGGGGTGCCACGTCCCGAACGTGGGAGAAGGATTTTCCTGTCGGCAAAAGCATTAATTCCTCAATCTTGAAAAATTCTCATTGTAATACATGCTACTCATTAGAGTGTATCTATCTATCTATCTATCTATATATATATATATATTTTTAGTTACATCTCTGGCTTAAAACAGTGAGATAACCTAATAATCGAACTGCGTGTCAGTTCTCTTTCCTCTCTGATGCCCGTTTGATGTACAACAAAGCATCCACAAGGCTATGATTTTTGCTTCTTCTAAGGAATGAATTCCAGATAATCAGTCTGCATAATGGGCTCACAGTTCATGAGACTAACCAAGAGAGACCAGTCTGTAAGCACTTTGGGGCAGTGACCTCCTCTCCCCATTTACAGTAAAACTCAGAGCAATTGATTTTTGTATGGATCTCTGGAAGACGGCTGCGGTACTCCATGTACCATCGCTCAGCTGTGTCCCACTTTTACCTGTTCTGTCCCTGAAACAGTGGTTCAGGAGTTCGAATTGTTGTTTAAATGTTCTCTGCTATTATATCCAAAAGTATATATACTTAATGGATACCAGTGGACCCCTTGTCCCAAACTATCTGCTGGCTAAAATTGAAAAATTAGAAAGTTGTGCAGAGATTATTATTATTATTATTATTATTGTTATCCTTGACAAACTAGCAACTGTCTGACCTTGTGCAGATTATTTAAGGTCAGATTTTTTTAGCAGGTCCTTAGACTGAAGGATGTAACTAGAGATATGCTGGTACTGAAGTCTCTGGAAATCAATTCATGTGCCTAAGAACAGAAATCTTTAAATAAATAAATAAAACAACCTCTAGTGCAAAAATGTCTATGTCAAATCTCCCTGAAACTCTTGTCCTGTGCCTCTAATAGCTTGTCTTTTCCGTCTCTAGAATCTTGAGTGTTCTTATATTTGACAAAGGTAGTGTATATAGGTACAAATATGTAAGTTTAGATATGTTTGTCATAGCCGATACTCTGTTAGTTTAAATTTTGGATGCTAAACCACTGGGTACTTTGGGCAAAACTGGGTGACTTCAACTGAAATATTTTCATCTTATTTTTTTAATATTTCTTTTCAGCAAAGAGACCAGGTAAATGAGGTGAAACTCAGACCAGTGGACATTTCAGCTCTCCAGTTTATTTAATGTTTTCAGCTTGCTGTGGACACTCCAGTTTATGTCACCCCATCTACGCTGTTGCCTTTTTAATGATCTGGGGATGCGTGGGTGGGGAGAGGTGGAGGAAGAGAAAGCTGAAATTGATGCTGGAGAGTGTCTATTTTCACTTTTCATTGCTCTTGCTGTGTTTCAGGTATACAAATGCTCTCAGTTCAGCCAGACACCAAGCCGAAAGGTTGTGCTGGCTGCAACCGTAAGATTAAAGACCGGTATCTTCTAAAGGCCCTGGACAAATATTGGCATGAAGACTGCCTGAAATGTGCCTGCTGTGACTGCCGCCTGGGGGAGGTGGGCTCTACTCTGTACACCAAAGCCAACCTTATCCTTTGTCGCAGAGACTACCTGAGGTAGGTCACACCCTCATCACGTTCACTGATTAACCTGGTAAGCCTGTTCAGTCCTTCCCGTGTAGTTAGTGGTTTGTAAGTAGTATGTGGTGGCTGCGGGACAGCGTTTGTGGAGCGTGAGACAACCACTGCAGCATAGTGGTGAGTGAAACTAAAATCAAAGGCGATGTCTGTCCTGAATTGGAAAGCACGCTGTTGTGAATTTTCTGATGCTTATACTAGGGCTAAGAGGAGAGGAGGATGAGAACAGAATAACCCCCGTCCCTCTGGCAGCACTGCGCTCTGGGGGAGCTGATCTCCTACTAAATGCAGTGGGGCCTTCAGGCACCGCAGCCTAAAGCAGCAGGCCCACCTGCGCAGTTTTCAACAGCTTGAGTGTGGGGTCTGAAGGTTGTCTGTGCGAACACTCTTCTGTCCTCTGAGTTTGCTGGAAGGATTTTGTTTGTGGTGGTGAGAGCTTTTATGAACACTGCCATTTGCCTGTTAGGTGCTGGACCAAGCCCACTCTCTTGCTTTTCCTGTAAATAACTCTGTAGCCAGCATGCCCCAATCAACTCTGCTCCTCAGCCTGGGGAACTGTGTGGGACATGGGTGAGCTGGCACCTTTTCTCAAAGACTGCAAACCACCACCTGATTTCTGCCCTCTTGATTGTTCATCGTCCTACCTTCTCTAAAACATTTGGGGTACAACTCAGCAAAGTACTTGGCTAATTTATCTGTAGAGTGCATATGAATACATAGGGCTACTTGCATAAGCTGAGATTAATCAGGAAGTTTGGTCTCTCTAGGCTCTCACTTGCAAATAGACAGACTCCTCTGGGGTGACTGAGCACCTATTTCCTATAGGAGCACCTTTTTCCACTCTCTGTATAAGGGGCCTAATGAGACTAGCTGCCTGAGGCAAACATGAACTTCTGGGAATATTTCCTCTGCCCCTGTAGTGAAGTCTTTTCCTTTTAAAGGGACATTCAAGTCTGTAATACATAGGGGAAAAATTAAAATTCTCTTTGAATGCATTAACTTACAAGTTCAGTGTAAGCACAGGTACCGAGTATGAAGTTCCCAGGTTGCTTGGCATGGATAGTTTGGAACAGAAATCAAGACCGAAGCGTTAACAGTTGGTACCCTGGCTCTCCATATTACAACCTGTTTTTTCTAGAGTAGAGCAAAAAGCGTTTGCAAGTGCCTTGTGCATTTGCTGAGCTGGGACTGCAAGGCAGTTCAGGGTTCTTCAGACGTAGCCTAAGACCTCTTAGTGGTACAAGTGCTCTGCTAGCCATTAAATGTCCGTGAGTTGAGCATAAGATAGAGTCTGCAACTTAAAGCCATTGTGTAAAAGCTGCCAAAGAAGTAGCTAACAGGAAGGAATTATTGTACAGGAGCCTAGGTTGCTTGTGATCTTAAATCGTGTATGTATATGTAGACAGGGGCGTGGACAGCTTCTGTGGGGAAGGTAATGCTGAGACTAATATTTAAAACCCATTTTAAGAATCTTTCTACAAGTGCCTGCAGGAGTAAGAAAACTGCTGGGGTAATTTGATCTCCAGGTTTACTAGGGGCTTTGAACCTACCTAATCTCCCAAATACTAATGCGACAGATCCAGTGTTTAAAATCAAAACCAAAAGTGTTCTAGTAATAGAGCTACAAAAAAGTACTTTTTTTTTCAGCACAGGGGTGTGCGTTTGGCATTGTTCTCTGGTCTTTGAAGGTCTAGCAGGGGTAAACATTTTGCAAACAGATTTTTAAAACTCATAGTATGTAATTCAAAGAAAGGAGACTTTTTTACACAATGATGCATCTGTCATGACAACATTCAAAACTAATGTTTTGGTTATGTTTTCATACGCAATATCTACTTTTGCACCAGTGAAGCCAGTGTATATGACAACTCCTGTAGTCAGTTTTAAGATGTTTTTTTATTTGGTTCTGGATTTATCAAGTCTTAATGAAAGTCATGAGCCTTTTCTTAGTGATTCTTGTGAGTGCACAGATTTAAATTTGGTATTTACTCTAAACTTCATACTGATGCACTTAAGGTAATTGCAGATAGTCATTTGCCTCATTGCTTCTTATCTACTTAGTTATGCAGTGAACCTATAAAAGTGATCTTTTTAATGCTAATGTAGAAACTAGTTAAATGTTCTCTAGCTTTGTAGTCAAATAAGCTTTCATATTTAGCAACCCACTTGATATCAATTTAAAGAACAAATTACTTAGTACTAATGATCAGATTAGAGTTCGATTACAGTTTCAAACTATCCTCTTAATTTTTTTTTTTCCTTTTTAACCGTAAAGGGAGTCTTTGCTACATACAAAATCATTCTAGCTTCCTATTAATTTATGTGGTGCCCTCTAGAGGATATGTGGCTTGTACGATACTATAAAGAGTAAAATTGCTTATTAACTTGTCTCTCTGTGTTCATTATGTATTTCAATAAGACAGCCATTCTACAGATGCTATAAGCAATAACGTAGCCAGTCTGTGTGCTTCAACATTGATGGTTAAATTCACAAACTGTGTGATTGTGTCCTTGGCTATTTGCAAAGATACTTCTAGTATTTCTCATTTAAAAATGCCTGCCAAAAAAAAAAAATAATCATAAAAAGATTCCGTCTGCCCCAATTCTTTTGTTTGGCATTTTATCCTGGAGATACCCTCTTGAAGTTTTTTGTTTTGTTTTTTAAATACTCTATCTTCAGGACTTTAAAACTTGTTTTGCTTTAGTTGTCTCCTTTTCAGTTAATTTTACTACATTAAGACCTTATTCTTTTGTATGGAAGGGGTTGAGGTGATGGATGTAATGAGCTTGAAAGATGTTCTGGGTGTGAGAGGCTTTTCCCCTGCAATCTGATTCAAGTAAGTTATTCCAGTGATTTTAGAGGTGGCATATGGTACCCAGGCTGTTGGGGTGGCCACGGCAGGAATGAACTCTGTTTTGTTAACGAAAATGAGAACTGACTTGAGTAAAGAAAGGTCTCAATGTTAGAAATAACATACTCGGTGAAAATGATATGCAGAGTATAATTCCCCTGCAGGCTTCTGTCTTCCGCTTATACACTCTTGAGTTAGAAAGTGAAGACTTAATTTAAGGAACTTAGGTTTACGCCAATATTTCAAGTCCATTTACAGTAAGTGAAATATGCAAGAAGTTTTTTTCCTCCAGAGCTGTGCAATGACATCTTAATGTATCAACCTATCCCGCTTTGTCTTCCATTCTGACTGGCAGCATGTCCATTTACAAGCACAATATTCCCTCTGAAATCTGTCATTACTGCCATTAATGACCAGTCGTTATGTTAACAGCCCAAGGGCTGTTAACATATCAAACTGGTTGTTAACTGGAAGGTTATTACTTATTTAAACTGCAGGTATGAGTTGTGTGAAATGTGCTTTGGTTATGCATTCTGGGCTACTCCTGCTCAAAACAATGCGAAAAACAGCGTTGCATTTGCCTTTGGGGTGCCAGGGGGATTTGCTTTTTGTTCCATCTGCTCGTTTGATTTCTGCATGCTTGTGAGGTCCTCCTACCCCTGGGCAGCCTCCTAATTTCAGGTGCAACTGTGTGTAGTCCCATCTTTTTAGCCTTGCGTGCAAATGGGCAGCCGCATATACTTCCAGATGCACAGTAACGCGTGCCACACATCTGAGATTAATATCTGGCTCCTAAAAGTGTAAAATGAAAAACCGACAATTACACGTAACTCAGTTGTATTAAATAATGAGCTTCCTCGGATGCAGCAAAAATATGAAAGTACAGCTGTGCTAAGCTAGTAGCAATGTAGGTCAATCACCCTTTTCACTTAGGTTTTTAACTACGCAAACCCTGCTGAGCGACCAATGACTACAAAGTGCTGTTTCATTCCTATTTAATTTTGGCAGCATTTTACTGAAGAGCAGGCATTCATGCAGCTAAATTATCTTCACCGTTTCTGGTTTTAACTCCAGCTCCATGACACTAAATGTTGGAGTGCATATCTCTTAGTAAACACAAAGAATATGGTTTCTGATTTATTTTTTTTTTTTCAAATCCATCTCTTAACATGGAAATTGAATTAGAACTTTTATTACTTTTTTGCATAATTTCTCTAGCCAGGCAAACAGATTATAGGAAAAGGATTAACAAAACAATATATTGGGGGGAATTCTTGTTCTTAAAGGTGTCTAGAGCCTTACTGGGGATGGAGGCACAATGACACATAAGTCTACCCCCCTCACTGCCCTACCTGGGTAATGATTTGGCTTGTAAATGCACTGCAGGCTTTAAAAGTATCACTGAATAGCTATTAAGATGAGTAGACTGCTGTTCCTGAAGAAAGGGTCAAATTGTGTGCTTTTTGGTTGTTTTTCTTTTTTTGTCTGTTTTTTTTTTTTTTTTCTTGTTTCCTTCCACATTTGTTGATCTGAAGACCTGAGACAAGCCAGAATTTTAAAAACATACATATTGGACAAGATCTTGTAAATTATGAGAAGTGACTACAGAAAGTAAAGTGCTCAACCATAAGCTTCATAAAGATGCTGCCTGTGTGAAATATTTAGTCTGTGAAAGGGTGCAGCCTGAAAAGAGTAGAGTTTAGGAAGCAGCCTTTTCCTGTGCAACTGCTCTCACTCTGAAGGCAATTATTATTTAAAAAATTATTACAGATGAGTACTTAGCAATTCAGGAAAGACTTAAAATGGCTTGATTTTCTCTCAGGTTGTGGAAAATTCATGTTAAATGTTGCAAACACCTAAGGTATTGGCTCTCTTAAATGCTTGTATAAATACTCTATATGGATGTTTTCACGGGTTTTGGGATATAAGACGTTTTTAAACTGACACCTCAGTATACTTCTTTCCCACCTTAATTAAATATTGGTAAAATTTTAAGGATTTAAGCAGTCTGAGTTTTCAGAAACATTGAGGAATTTACAGAAGTGAGTCTTAAAGAGCTCTGCTTTCTTCACTAAAATGAACCCTTATTTATACATGAATACCATTTCCACAATGCATTAAAGCATT